ATACATCCCTACAGACCTGTTTCGTGGTTGCCCACTCATCAGGGGATTTTAATGGCAGAATAATGCGATACCATCGCTTATATATTACACTAATTGCTAATTAACATGGTTTATGCAGTGTGAAAAGTGTCAAGTCAGCTGTTGCGTAGGAGTGCTTTGTTTCTGTGTCGGCAGGAAGAGACGAGTTCGTTACGCTTGTTGAGTGTTGATAGGTCTGGGTGGCAGATGATTAGGAATTTCTCTTTAAGGCATAGGTTGCATCGTTTGCTTGAGCTGTTGTAGGGCAGGTGGGAAGATAGGATGCGCCAGGTGATGGAATAATTGATGTTGTTGTCTTTAAGTGTCCAGATGTGTTTGCTGAGTTCGGTGGAGTTGCGGTGTTTTGCGTGTCGGAATGATGAGGTGTGGTTGTTGTAGCGCGACTTAAAGTCGTTTGCAGTGAGCCCGATGTATGTGTCTGTCGTGCTGTTGTCTTTACGTGTAATGGTAGCTTGGTATATGACAGATTGTTGGAGGCAGTTTCCGTCTAGAGGGCATGAGTTTTTCTATCGGCAGTTGCATTTCTTCCTCCTTCGACCAAGCCGTTCCTGCCTACCAGAAAGCATTAAACACCAGTGGTTACAGCTACACACTCCACTACGAACCAACGCACACACAAAGTCGCAAGAACCGCCAACGCAACAACATCCTCTGGTACAACCCGCCTTTCACCAAGAACACCAGCACTAACATCGGACATAAATTCCTCGCGCTGATTGACAAACACTTCCCCAAAGATCATAAGCTCCGCAGAATTTTCAACAGAAACACAATCAAAATTAGTTACAGCTGCATGGACAATACAAAACAAATCATCGACAACCACAACAAAAGAATCCTCACCTCCCACGTAAAGACTAACGCCACCGCCACAACCGACACCTCTACCGCAAACAACAACAAGAAATGCAACTGCCGACAGAAAAACTCATGCCCTCTAGACGGAAACTGCCTCCAACAATCTGTCATATACCAAGCTACCATTACACGTAAAGACAACAGCACGACAGACACATACATCGGGCTCACTGCAAACGACTTTAAGTCGGGCTACAACAACCACACCTCATCATTCCGACACGCAAAACACCGCAACTCCACCGAACTCAGCAAACACATTTGAACACTTAAAGACAACAACATTAATTATTCCATCACCAGGCGCATCCTATCTTCCCACCTGCCCTACAATATGAATGCCAACGATTTAAATAGAAGTGATTGCTTGGTGTGAAAAATGATTCTTCTGTCTTCCGCGGAAATGTCGATATAGGAAGCCGCGAAAAATAGGGAGTCGCTTAGAAGTTTGTGTGAAATGGACGGGTAGAGGTTTACAATATCAAAAGCAATGAACGAGTGATGGTCTTTGTTAGGGATATTGATGAACCTATCGAGGGTCGCTCTTATGTTTTTCCATTAATGAATGTTGGTCTTATCGATGATGGCTTTGTTTATGTTATCAAGGATTTGCTTGCTTACTTTGCCTAACTCTGATTTGGTTGGATTAATCAGGCGGCTTTTAAGGTTATTCTGTTAATTTTCCTTGTGGTCTTTCAAAATGATGAATGATTCATTAGGTGCCAATATTTCAACCCTATCGTCTATCTTTAGGGTTTGGGCGAAATCTTTCGCTTCGGTATTAATATGTGTGTTTCTGCGTTAGCGGGGGCTTTCTTGTACTCCTTCTCTATGTTTTTATTCAGCAGCGTTTTAAATCTACAACAGCTCAAGCTAAAGATGACTAACCTGATCCGAAACATCGAATTCAAAGCACCCCGCCCTTCCGAATTCCAGAAAAAATTATCAGAGCACTTCGATTCCATAAACAAGGACAGTTACCTGTATGTACCAGCAGACAAAACCACGAATTTCTTCAAGACGAATGCCAACAATTTAAAACGCTGCTGAATAAAAACATAGAGAAAGAGTACAAGATGACAACAACGACAACACCCCATGGAACAAGAAGCATTGAACAACTTCATGTTACAATGGGCTCGTATGACGGTGCGGAAACCTGTGAACTAGTGGGATCGTACTTGCTAAACCAACTACCAGAAGACATCAGAAAACAATTCGGCTTATACAGGGATGACGGCAAACACCGAGAAGGATCGAAAAAATCAAAAAAGATATTTGCAAAGTGTTCAGCACCAACGGCTTAAAAATAACTATCGAAGCAAACAAAAAAGTGTTCAACTTTCTCGATGTCACTTTGAACCTAAACAAAAGATCTTATAAGCCATAAACAAAACCTAACAACGCACCTCTTTATGTGCACCGTGATAGCAATCATCCACCTTCCATTGTAAAGAACATTCCCCTGGCGATCAATAAAAGGCTTAGCGAAATCTCATCGGACAGGGTATCCGACAAAGCAGCACCCATGTATCAGCAAGCGTTAGAAACAAGTGGCTATAATCACCAACTAAAATTTGACACAACAACTAAAGACCAGAGGAGTGCAGAAGGGAGAAGAAGACAACGAAATATAACTTGGTACAACCCACCATTTAGAAAGAACGTTGCTTCTAACGTGGGAAAGAAATTTTTAGGCATCATAAAAGAATTCTTTACACCAGGGCACCCGCTAAGAAAAATTTTTAATAGGAACACTTTGAAAGTGAGCTATTCATGCATGCCAAATTTGGAAAGAAAAATCAGCGCCCACAAGTCCTCCCTCGCAAACAATTCTCAATCACAAGAAAAATCATGCAATTGTAGAGACAGGCACTCTTGTCCGCTAGGTGGCATTTGCCTAATCCAAAATGTGGTCTACCAGGCCACAGTTGAAAGTCCCATGGGAATCCAAACGTACATCGGCGTTACTGCGAACCAATTTAAAACAAGATTTAGAAACCATACAGCTCCATTTAGAAATGAGAAAAAAATGAACGCAACAGAGTTGAGCA